TCATCATCATCATCATCATCATCATCATCATCATCATCATCATCATCATCATCGTCCTCATCATCATCATGGGTATAGGTCGCCAAGAAGAGGTCTCCGCCTGTCTCTGTTCTGAGCGATGTTCTCCACCTTCAGACTTGCTGTGTCCCATAAACTTATGATCTGCCTCTAAATGTCACTTCCTGGTGGAATTCGCCCTCCCCCTCTCTCTCTCTATCTTCTCCCTCCTCCCCCCCCCTTCTCTCTCTCCCTCTCTCTCATTATCTCTGTCTCTCTCCTCCTCCCCTAGGGTTCAAACTTAGCCTTTTTCTTGTCATATTGTGGGCTGTCTTGTCGTTTGGAATACATACATTGAATAGCAGGTCCTGCTTTTTATATAATGTTGCCGAAGTAGAATCAATTTAAAAACTTGAAGAAAAACTACCCAAAAAACTTGGAAAGACTTCTCAACTTCGGACTCTTACTTCTTGTCGGGGTGTGTTTGGTTATGTGTGTGTATGTGTATGTGTGTGTGTGTGTGTGTGTGTGTGTGTGTGTGTGTGTGTGTGTGTGTTCATGTGCGTGTGAGAATGTGTGTGTGTGTATTTGTGTGTGTATTTGTGTGTGTGTGTATGTGTGTGTGTGAGTGTGTGGGTGTGTGTGCGTGTATGTATTTGTATGTGTGTGTAGGTGTGTGTGTGTATTTGTGTGTGTGTGTGTGTGTGTAAGTGTGTGCGTGCGCTCTTGTGTGCGCACGCGTGTGTCTGTGTAAACAAAACCAACTTGTGTTTTTAGATTATTTCTGCTCTTAAAACTTTTTTTCTACTTCTTCCAGTTAGCACTCGCAGCAACATTTCTTTTTTTTCTTTCCCGTGTCCTGATTTTGCCCATATTTGTAGGTTACGTAAAATTTATTGACATGATGCAAATTGTCATGTTTTCTAGATAAACGAAGCAAGAAAAAGGGGAATTGTTTAGTCGATGATGATGATGATGATGATGATGATGATGATGATGATGATGATGATGATGACGATGATGATGGTGATCATGATGATGATTATTTATGGTAACGATGATGATGCTCTGATGTTGGAAATAATGTGCATATTAGTCTTAGTATTAAGAGTGTTTCAATGTTTGATTGTTTGGCGCGCTTACTCTAGATCCCCGCCAGGCTCTCTTGCCTGGGGAGGGGGG